AGCGATGGCAAACCTTGACAGCATCTTAAAAAGCAGAGATATCACCTTGCCAACAAAAGTACGCATTGTCAAAGCTATAGTTTTTCCTGTCGTGACGTATGGAAGTGAGAGCTGGACCATAAAGAAAGCAGACCACCGAAGAATTGATGCGTTTGAATTGTGGTGCTGGAGGAGACTCTTGAGAGTCCCCTGGACTGAAAGGAGAACAAACCTATCAATTCTAAAGGAAATCAACCCTGAGTACTCACTGGAAGGACAGATCCTGAAGCTGAGGCTCCAGTACTTTGGCCATGTCATGAGAAGGGAAGACTCCCTGGAAAAGACCTTAATGTTGGGAAAGTGCGAAGGCAAGAGGAGAAGGGGACGACGGAGGATGAGATGGCTGGACAGTGTCACCGAAGCAACCAACATGAATCTGACCCAACTCCGGGAGGCAGTGGAAGATAGGAGGGCCTGGCGTGCTCTGGTCCATGGGGTCACGAAGAGTCGGACACGACTAAACGAACGAACGAAGAAACTATACAAAAATCTTATTGCCCCTCCTGGGCACTTGCTACCATCGCTTCATCTGTACACATGGTTTCAAGAGTTTAATGACTAACTGTAGATTAAATATTCTACCATTGATGGAAATTAAGGGCCAATATCACAGTCAGCCTCAGATGAGTAGGCGTTGGCTTCCAAATGAGAAAGGACCTGGTTCACCCTTTCTTAGAAAATGCATTATACTAGGACTCAAGAACCCAGTATTTTGCAGCCAGAGAAGTCTGTAACTCGAAAAGTCTGTAAGTCGAGCCTTCTGTAAGTCGAGGGTCCACTGTAACTGCTTGCTTCCAATGGTAAATTAGAGAACCTCTACAGTAAATGAGCACAACCTACGAAATGTACAAATAGTTATGGGAAGAACCTAATCTTCAGTTCTGCCATTTTCTTTAGTTTAATCTTCCCTTTGAAATTGGCCTGAAACTCTCCAAAGATCAATATAAAGAATATGGACAACCACTGGAAAAAAATTCTAGAAGACATATTTTGTGAAGACAATGAAGGTAACTTCCTGAAAACAATGAAGGTAAATAAGGACTCCAATAACTTATCCAACATACAAGCTATATGCAAATTAAGAACTGCTGGTTTCTATATATCAGACTTCATGCATTTTGAATATCCTCCCTTCTTCTTACTGGTTGAATTAATCTCACCATACCATTGAAAATCAGAGAAGTAATAAACCAAAAGCTTTAATAGCAGAGGCAAACATCTCTTGATGACTTCATTTTAACAGAAAACAAGCATTACTTTCTGTATTTTTGTTGCTTTGGGATATTGTCCATCTTTGCTGTAAACTGCCCAAGTAATCCAGGTGTTATAAGGTGGTAGCACAAAAGCATAATAAAGAAAGCAATATATTTGACTGTGCAAGTACAATCTTAAATACATCTCTAATTAATTATTTAGTGTTTCCAAGTAAATATGCTTAATGAGGATTGAAACTTAAAAATACTAAAGCAGTATGTTCAAAATATCTAGAAGACCTTGACCCTGGAATAGATTGTCTAGAGTTTTGGGGTTCCGTGTCACCAATATGTGGATGATATTCAACTCTATTCCTCCTTTCCATCTTATCCCAGGGGAGCCGTTTTGAACCTAAACCAGTACCTAGAGTCAATAATGGAATGGATGACAGCAAACAAATTAAAGCTTCATCCAGATAAGACTGAGGTGCTTCTGGTCAATTGAAAGGTAGATCAGGAAACAGGATCCAGCTTGTGCTGGATGGTGCTAACCTCCACATGAATACTCAGGTTTGCAGCTAGGGAGTACTCTTGGATTCAACCCTGAACCTGGATGGCCAGAATTTGACAGCCGCCTCGGATGTGGTTGCACAATTAAACCTAGCATGTCATCTACAACCATTACTTCAGAGATATGCTCTGATCCAGTGATTTCTGTAACATGCTGTATGTGAAGCTGCCTTTGGAAACGGTTCAGAAATGGCAGAAGTTTCAGGATGCTACAAGCTACCTAGACTCCTACTGGAGCTGGTTACCATATTTGCCAGATCTGTAAGTCGAGCCTTGACCCTGAAAAACATGCCTCCAAGTGGGGGGGGTCGTCTTGTATACTGGGTGCATGTCTAGCAAACCCTCCCTCTTTCCCAGCGAAGTCACTTACCTGATAGTAAGACCCAGTAGACCTCCGCTCCTAGCCTGGGAACAGCCTGACTCTAGCGCCGAACAGCTGACTGTCGGAACAGCAGAGAGGCACCAGCCATTTTGAGATGTGACCACATGGCTGCTGCCTCTCCAAAATGGCTGCTGCCTCTCCAAAATGGCTGCCGCCTCCGAAAAGGAACCAAAAGGGGCAAAAGGAACTCTCCCCATGATGCAGCCAAAGCAGAATCACGCATGCGGAAGACGGGGTAGTATTATACAGCAAGTATATAACAAACTCTACATTCTGAGTGGGAATGTTGGGGGGTCGTCTTATACTCCCAGTCGCCTTATAGACCGGCAAATACGGTATAACAAAGCTGGTTGTAACAAACTCTTTGTTACAACAACTTCGCTGGCTACCAGTCCATTTCTGGGACAATTCTAAGTGCTGCTTTTACCCTATAAAGCCCTAACAACTTGGGCGCAGGCTATTTGAGAGAACTCTTTGTATCAGCTTTTCTGGGTTATGTTCTTCAGGGGAGGGCTCTCTCTTGCTCCCTCGGCTCTCACAAGCATGCCTGGTGCTGACCTGGGAGAGGGCCTTTTTTGTGGCTATAGAGCTGTAGGCTGTAGAGCTCCCTCCCATGGGAGACTAGGCTAGGCCCCTCTCTGCTGTACTTCTGGTGGCAAGGAAAGATCTTTCTTTTTAGGCAGGCTTTTAATAGGTAAACTGCTTCTGAGGAAAGGATATTAGGGGGCGAGTTTTTTTTTAAATGTTTTAAAATGTGTATTTTAAATCATTTGCAAGGGATTCGGTTTAATACCTTTTATCAATTCATATGTTTGTTGTCTAATAATGTGATTTCTATGTTTGTTGTTTTAATATTTTTGTTAAATAATTTGTAAGCTGTTTTGAGGCTCTTTACAGGAAAAAGTTGGAGTAAACATTAAATGACTAAACAAATAATAAAGTGAATAATGTTCTTCAGTTGTAAACCTCATGCTTTTTCAAACTCTTATCATAATTGGATCACTTTGAATACTTGGGACTTATAATCTTACCATCTCAGTCAACACAAGTAAGTAACATGTAAGCCTTTCTTTTGCAGACTTGTTCCATGGCTATGTGCCATGAAGTCGCTTCTACCTCCGGGCAATCCTAAGAAGGATTTCAAGGTATGTGAGATGTTTAAGGAGTGTTCTACCAATGCCCCTCACCGGAGGGTTTGTTTGGCCAAGCAGTATTTTGGATCCAGGTCTCCTGTGCCCTAGTCTGTCACTCTATCCACTATACCTCACTGGTTCTCCCTTACGAGATTTGGTAACTTGCAAAAATCTGTTTCTTGTCACAGTAATTTTTTCTTTTTGCAATTATATTTTGAAGTCTAATATGCAACCACATTCAGAACACTGTGTACAGTTCTGGCAATATCGCCCCTCAAAAAAAGTTATCGGATTGGGAGCAGGGACAGGAAAAGGCAACTGTTTGGAATATTTTCTCTACAAAGAAAATGGAAAATTTATTTCATTTTATTCCCATTCGGTTTCTTTAATGGGGCTTGAATTCACCTCTGTCTATATTCAATTAATAATTAATGTTTTAAACTTGCTATGGTAAGGGGTAGCAATGGTTATTTTTTCCACTCTTTCCATTCTCAATGAATTTGTCTTTCAGTAGTTATTAGCCATGATACCTACATGGCGCTTCTAGGTTCAGATGTGGCCTTACCAGGTAGGGATTCTGGAAAAATTAAGGGATTTGGTTTGTTTTTTTAAAAACTTTTGAATCTCTGATGTTAGATATAGAAATACAGTTGTTTAAAACTACTTTTCTATTAACCTTTCAGAAAGCCAAGTAACAGGATGAAGATGAAAACAGAGATACTAGGATGGAAAAAAGCAGCTTCACCTTAAAAATAAGTTTCACACTTTGAATAAAACCTTGCTTTATTCTGTTTAATACCTAATTAATGATTCTATTAAAAGGTATACTAAGAAACATTTTGGAGACTTTGTCATAAAACCTACAGCACTTAAAAAAATAATAAAATAAAACAAATACAGGGAGGGATAGTAGCAGTCTGGATAACAGTGATTGTATTAGGAATTCAACTGGGTGCTGCTGGGTAATGTTTTTATTGAAAATGCAGGGATTTTACTAATGTTGCACTAACTATGACACATTTTTAAACAGCAGAGAAATAAATGCATGATAAATACACAACAGAGAAGTGAGGAACATAACACATATTCTCTGTAAATGGACAGACCAAGCTGGCATTGAGAAAGAAAGCCACTTATTAGTTGTTAGGTTATTAGTTGTTAGAAGATATATGTGGAATCAAAGACATATTTATAAAGCAAGAAAAGAATTTTCTTCCCTGCTTTGCAACTGTTTATTTGGCACTAAAGGCAACAGGTTGGTCACCTCTGAATACTTTTGCTTTGATAGCATTTTAAGATTACAAACATGGCAGTTGGCTATGACTTGGAGTTAGGTAGCAGTGGTTTTATTGTTATTTCTGCTAGAAGTGTGCATATTTGTGGTTTTGGTCTGCAGCTTCCAGAATTCCCCAAGCAATATGGCCACAGACTGTTTTACCTGGGGAATTTTGGGGTATGTAGTCCTAAAATACAGAGCTTCATAAAAAGCTACTTTCACATATATTGGGAAATATCCCACATCATGAGTATCTGGAAGACAAAATAACATGAAATCACATAGCTAAACTAAAGGCAGAAGAAAGATGAAGCACAACATAATTTTGTTGTTGTTATCAGAGATTACAAAATTTTAATTTCTTGCCTCAATAATATAACCCAATAATATAACCAACATAAATATTAATATAAAAATACATTTATTTACAAATGAATCTTAAAGTCCAAATGATACTATTATAGAAACATTGAATCATTTTCCCGAATTAAAAAAGAAATTGAAGATATTAAAACTCACCTAAATTGAACAAAAATAAAAAGTTAACCAGTTTGCACCCAATAATTAGTAATTAAAAAGGCAAGCCACTCTTAGAAATAAAATCAACACTAAGGCACCTTATATGGCAGGCAACAAATAACTGGAAAGGGTCAGGAAAAGGTATGAATGTTTAAATATCTTTGTCCCACTTAAGCGTTTGCTAGTATTTTCCTTGCTCCCAGAAGTCCCAATAACAGGCTGGTCAACACTAATGTACAAGCCCCAAATCTATAATTACATGAGTTTCAAAAGACCAGAATCACTTTACACAAGTATTTTTGCCTCAGCATTTTCCCATACTACCTTGTATTTTTCTACAAGTTATATATTTTGTTTGTGTTTTGTCTTAGAATGCCTAACATGGTAGATAATGGCACCTCCTTGAGGCGGGCAATCTCTTTCACTGTGTGCAGTGCTACTCCCGGGTGTGAATACTGGCATACATTTTTGGGTACCTGGGGAAAAAGGAAAAGAAAAATGTACATTAGTCTTCTTTTCTTTATTCATATCAGAGACTTATACAACTTAAAATTATAGATGTATATGAAATATAGGCAAAATTAAAAACAAATTAAAATGTTAAAATAGTTGGCTATTAATGAACTACTTCAATAGTGTTATCTTGCCCATTTGCTAGACTTCTTTTGTATTTGTGGTGGGGAATAAATTGTAGGGAAAGAGGTACTTCACTGATTAAATTTCTCTAGTCACAGAAAATTTGCCCTGTATCCAAGTAGTCCCATTTTACTTAATTATTCTTTGATCTTCCTACTTTGCTTCTAAGTCTATTAAGTGACTCTGAAGTCTATTAAGTGCAGCACTGCACTATGCATTAGCTTTGTGTCACAGTGGCTATGCAGAATTGCAATCAAGACTCTGCTCGACCTGAGTTTGATCCCAGTAGATTCCAGTAGCTAGCTCAAGGATGACTCAGCCTTCCTTCCTTCCAAAGTTGATCAACTGAGTACCCACCTTCTAGGGGGTGGCAATGTGTAGCCTGCATAATTATATTGTAAGCTACCCAGAGAGCACTTTAAGCGCTATGGAGCGGAATATAAGCAGCACGTTTTACATTAGCTACAGGATATTATTATTATTCTGCAGGCTAGAACTAAGTGGAGTTTAGAATGATCATATCTTATGCTGGATGTCTTGTGGATAATTTTGAGGAGCCACATCCTCAGGCAGACTTTTTCTCAGTAACTTGCTGGTTAAGAGGGAGTCCTTAAAAACACAGCTTTTTTTAAAATACTTTTTTTACATCATTTGTTTTAATATTGTAAGGTGCCTGCAGTTCCCTTGAGGAGAAATATTTCAAGCAAAAAACCCCACAATTCTTACTGCTGCTAAGACATTGCAAGGGGACAAGATCAGTCTCTCATACAACCCTCTTTCATATTCTTCTCAGGTGAGATGGGTTAGGAGAGGGATGCAAATCCATAGTTCTTCACTGGTAAGAGATTTCCACTTTCAGTCAACCACTGTGCAACTAAGATGCCTTCATAGCAATCAGCAATTCCATCTCTTTCTCTTATTTCTTTGCAAACCAAAAGGAACAAAATCCTGCTGTTCCCCAGTCTATATGAACCCAACACAGTAAGCTTACCTGTCCCCACTTAATCTACTACTATTTCTAAAATGTGTTGCACTTTTTTTTCCAGCTTGAAGAACTGTTGTTTACTTTGGCATCAATGTGAGAACAAAAAATCCCTCTAATATGCCTTATATACACTGTTTATCAACTTTTCTGGCACAAAAAAGAGACCATGTTCCAACAACAGGGTCTGGGCTACGACTTAATTTATATCTGAAAAGATGTAGCGGTAGATAAACCTTTATGCATGTTATTATTTCCTTCATTAGTACCACCCAAACTAATGAAATATATTCATGCAGTATTAATCAGGTAGGATTAAGAATTCTTCCTTTTAAAAAAACAGCAAACATCTCACCTGCCTAGGAAGGAAATAAGGTGCATCTGTTTCCACTACTATTCTGTTTAATGGAATTTTTCGAACCGACTCTCTAGCTTCATTAGCTGATGGGTATGTCAATAATGCTGTGAATCCAACAGTAAGATTTGGAAAGTAGTCCAACAATGGTTCTATGACACTGTAACTGCCAGTAAAGCAATGCCTAAGAAGAGAAAGAGGAAACAAAGGTAATTCTGCAATTAAGACTATCAGCCAGCAAAATTAGCTGGAGAGAAACAAAGCAGATCTTCTAAAAATATACACAAGTAATTATGGACACCAAGCTCTTCCATTCAAATTAAGCCTTAGTGTTACTTGAGATTTAGAATTATCAGGAAATTTAAACAGGAATGTTTAGAAAGGCAATCGCCTAAGTATCTATAAATTTGCTCAAAATAAGTACCATGGCCTTTTGAAGACATTTGTAACATTGGCTCTTCTGCTCTTTTCCGTCCATAGAAACTAAAGTACTTGAGATTTAGAATTAGCAGGAAATTTAAACTGGAATGTTTAGAAAGGCAATCGCCTAAGTATCTATAAATTTGCTCAAAATAAGTACCATGGCCTTTTGAAGACATTTGTAACATTGGCTCTTTGAGTAGTCATCTCTACATCCACACTAGTGAGTCTGTGCATGCAATTTAAACTGGAATGTTTAGAAAGGCAATCGCCTAAGTATCTATAAATTTGCTCAAAATAAGTACCATGGCCTTCTGAAGAGGATATAGATGGATCACTTTTTTGTAACATTGGCTCTTTGAGTGGTCATCTCTGCATCCACACTAGTGAGTCTGTGCATGCTTGAAGCCACCCTTCAGAACCTCCTAGATGAAAGTGTTTTGGTGGTATCCCACTCCTGGCTAGCACAAACATCAGCACACAGCCCTACAGAAACATCTGCAGCACCAGTTCTACACATTTGGATGACACCGTGACAGTAAGTAGGTTGTTTACCAGCAGGTGCCAAAAAAGAGAAGACGGGGTTCCCTGTTTTATCTGTACAAATAACACTTTTGTTCAGGCAGTCTTCTTGGTCCTCCTTTCTATATTCTAGACATTAAAAAACAAGCTATTTCTGCTCTAATTCTAAATCTCAAGTAACACTAAGGTTCAAGAAGAGGTGGAAAGTCATTGATAACCACTCAAAGAACAAATGTTACAAAAAAGAAACTTTTTTTCTTTGTGGTATTTGTGCATTCACAGTAATGGGTGAAGATACTCTGGTTTGCCTCCAAACACAGACAAGGAATTAGGAGAGTAGGCACCTTCACATCCTAGAGCAAAGTGAAGACAACAGTCTTTTGTTTAGATGGTAGTAAGGTGGAAAGCTGAGACCAGGCCACAACTCTACACAAATCATTCAAGCAGGCCACTCACAGAAAGGTTGTAGAGATAGCTATAGCCCTGAAGGAACGGGCTTTAGGTTAGGCAGAGGTTTCTAAGCCAGCTGGTTTCATGACCCAGTTGGCAAATTTCTGAGCAGAAACAGCTTGTTTTTTAATGTCTAGAATATAGAAAGGAGGACCAAGAGGACTGCCTGAACAAAAGTTCTTATTTGTACAGATAAAACAGGGAACCAAAGCTGGCACAGCCATCACAGGTCTCTCAGGATGCAGCATGGCTGCTCCTGACAAAACACTGAAATAACCTTGGTGAGGACCGAAGAGTAGAAACATGTAGAGCCTCTTCTTATTCCATAGCTAAAGCAGTGCACTTCCCAGAGTCCTGACCTGTGCCTGGACTGCTGTAGTACAGTGAAAACTTCCAATTAGAGCACACACTTTGACCTGTGGTAAAGTCCATATGTGGAACACTCTCCGGAGAAGAAAAGGGCGCCATTCCCACTTGTGGATGTTTCTGTATTCTCCTTTTAACAAGTCAGCAAAGTGATTAATCTCTCCTAGAATATGCACCACAATAAAGTCTATTTTGGGGCAGATACACCAGGGCCAAGGAGAAAGCGGGAGGCTCACTAGTTGCTTGGACCTGCTGCTGCCCTGTTCATTCATGTATTATGCCATGATGGAATTGTAAGTGGCAATACGAATTACACTGGTGCCTCGCTAGACAATAATCCCTTCCCCTGAAATCGTTGTTTAGCGAAATCATTGTCTAGAGAAAATCATTTCCCCACTGGAATGCATTGAAACCTGTTTAATGTGTTCCAATGGGGAAGAATTGTCGTTGTCTAGCGAAGATCGGCCATAGGAAAACCGTTTTGCGAACCACTGATCAGCTGTTTAAATTGCTGTCTTCGGAAGCTTAGGTCCAGAAAACACCTGTTTTGCGAGCGCGGAAGGAGCTGTCAAAATAGTTGTCTAGCGAAAATCGGTTTGCGAAGCAGGGACCACACATTGTCCAGCAAAATTCCCCCATAGGAATCAGTTTTGCGAATCGCTATAGCGATCACAAAAAGTCAATGTCTAGCGAAAAAACTGTCATGCGGGGTAACTGTCTAACGAGGCACCACTGTACAATCAAGATGAATACTGGTCAAATAGATTTACGAACTCTGAACACACCAAAAGTTCCAGAAAGTTGACATGTTTTGCTGCCCTAGTCATCCATTTGCTTTGGACATGTTACTGAACATGTTAGCCTACCCAACTGTTGTTGAATTCACTGGTTGTCACAGCCAGACAAGGCTCAAGTAGAAAGACATGCCTTGGAAAAGTTTGTGGGTTTGGTCCACCATTGAATGAAACCTTTGATGGAACCATATCCTGGATTCATTTGGAGTTGAAGGCAAGACTGTAAAGCTGCAAAAGCTATAATTGTTTGTAACTATTTTGGGAAGCCTTGCAAATTGGAAGGCAGAGACCATAGATGCCATTAGTCCTAAAAGTTCACAAAGCTGAAGGAAATGCCTGCAGCGTGGTTGACGATATAATGGCTACAACATGGTGGACAATCAACTGTGATGCTAATGGGCAGTTCCAAAGGGGTCTTTGGTGAGTACTGATTTCTTGTAGAAAAGGCTCAGATGATAGTGTTGAACAGAATACATGTTCAAACAGAATTCTGTTTGAGTGCCTCACTACACTATAGTAGGACCCACTGATCAGTAGCAATGGAGCTCTAGACCTGAAGATATTGTGAAAGCCTAGTACCAAAGACAGTGATCCTGGCATTGATAGGGGAGGCATGCTCTGATTAAATATCTCACATAGCTTGCAAACCCCATTAGGGTCACTGTATGTCAGATACTATTTGATAGCATATAACAAAATGGTATCTGATCTTGCTAGTCTGTTGGTGTTGAAAGGTAAAACTCCTATGTCTTTGGCCATATCAGTCAGCTTATAGCCTGAAGACCATATCAGTCAGCTTATAATATAATATAATTTATTGTCATTGTAAGTATATACACAGTATACCATACAATGAAATTCACAGACACATCAAAACCCAGTGGAGTAACTTACACTGGTAGAGATAGTAATGGGCTAAGGTTACTCAGTGAACTTCATGGCACAGTGGGGTTTTGAATATGAGCAGAATAGCCCCATTGGGTCATTTGCACAATGGGCTGAATTTATTTGCTGCTAAGTTAAAATCCTTGGTTCTCTGAAATGAGACAACCATCTGCTTTTTGCTCTTAATGAGAGAAACAATTTGTCTCATAGGAACAAGTATCACCTCAAGTCAAGTTCATTGATTTGCAATTTTTAGTGCAAGGGCTGTGCAGGAGTTAGGCCTTGTGGCCAAGCATGTCCATGTATCTTCACTCCCTAACACAAGCTGGTGTTTTTTTCCCTGCACGTGAGACCATTACACCAAGTTCAGGACCAGATGTTAGAAAAAAAACCCTGCTTCCATCCTTCTGCATTCTGTACAGGCTATATGATGACTTGTAATCTGTGGTTGTCTCATTTCAGAGAACCAAGGATTTTAACTTAGCAGCAAATAAATTCAGCCCATTGTGCAAATGATCCACTGGGGCTATTCTGCTCATATTCAAAACCCCACTGTGCCATGAAGGTCACTGAGTAACCTTAGCCCATTACTATCTCTACCAGTGTAAGTTACTCCACAGGGTTTTGATGTAGATAAAATTGGTGGCAGTGAGAGGAAGAACTCTCTCTCTCTCTCTCTCTATATATATATATATATACACACACACACACACACACATACAGTGGTGCCTCGCTTAACGAGCGCACCATTTAACGATGCATCTGCATAGCAATCAATTTTTTTAGATCGCTAATGAGATCACATTGCGATGCTCTGAATAGGCAAAACCGATGATCGGTAAGCGTTTCACTTAGTGATCTTTGCATTGTGATGTTTGTTTAAACAGCTGATCGGCGGTTCCAAAATGGCCGCTGCGTGCCCAAAACGGCCACCGCAAGTGTTTTCGCGCCCGGCCCTCGCTTACCGAGGGCGCGAAAATGGCGGCGCTATGGAGGAACTTCGCTGAACGGTGAGTTTGGGAGCCATAGAAATGCATTAAACGAAGTTTAATGCATTCCTATGGCTTTTCCCATTCCGTTTAGCGATATTTCTGCGTAGCAACGATTAATCCGGAACGGATTAACGTCGCTATGCGGAGCACCACTGTATATTATTTCCAGCTCCTTAGTGGAAAGTTATTAACTATAATAAATTATATAATGCCAACAAATATGAAGTGTTACATAGTTACATGATTCATTTAGTGGAAGAATTTGGATTTTAGTTAATAATTTGGTGTTTGTTGGAGACCAGATACACAAGGAGACAGGTGATGTAACTAAACAAAAAGCAACATGGTCACAGATCCCGAAGAGAGGGCACAACAGCTGTGCAATATAAGACTATCTGAAGTGAAATCCTCACTAACACTTCTCATTGTATTTAGTGAAATCTCTCCTGCACTTCATTCCCATAAGGATGACCAGAAATATAAAGAAAAATATGAAGCTAAAATTTAAAGGAAGAGTGGTTTTGGAAATAATACAATCAGAGTCATACTAAATTTTAAGATTTCTAGATTTCAGCAATTAGTTTAAAAAATGAAAAAATGATAGCATTTTAAAATATTTAAAAGTCACCTGTGTATTTTGTAGTCTTTTGGTACGCATTTTTTCATGATGTCCAACAGATCATCATCAGCATCTCTGCAGTGTATTACCAATGGCTTCCTTAAGGAAACAGCTAGATTCAGTTGCCTTTCAAATACCTGAAGTAAGAAAGCAGCACATCTTCAAATGCCATTAGAACTGCCCTGAGAACAGAAGGTAAGATATTGGCGAAATGCTCTAGCATCAAGTCCAGTTATCCCTACAACTTTTATCAACACACAGCCCATTCTGACAGATTTAGGAAACCCTTAAGTGAAAATAATCTGGATTTTTAAATCATGGATATAAAGATATAATTAACAGGTCTGTATCTACAGGTTTTTGAAGTTTCCTACTGAAGATTCACAGAGAATGTCCAGATATTGGCTGACAACACTGTCATTTAAACCATGTAAGGCTGACGTTACCAGGCATTATTGTTTTTTGGAAATTAAAATTTTCCAAATCATTCCACAAAAGGCCCAGAGGCTCTTTCAAGATCCTCTTCATCATGGAGGAATCACTGCAGGTCATGGGGAATGGAGAGGAAGTCTTTAATATCTGAAAATTGCTGTTGTCAGAATACTTTCCCTTCAGGTAGAATCTGAAAACTTCAAATTCCAAAAACTCTCCTGCAGCTGAACATATCATTGGCATTGCACACCACAGCTCATCCTGCTGGATTTCAGCCAGAAGATACTACTCTTCTTATTCTGGTCACTTCACTGAACACCACTGTTGGTAAGCTATTTGCATCCAGTTCACTGATAACATATTACACACTGCCACTCCTACATAAGCCACATGATGTATGTGTATATCCTGTGTTGTTTACAACTGTCTTACTTGTTAAGACATATAAATAAAATTTTGCTAGCTTATTGTTATGAGTTATTCAAACTGCAAAAGCACAGGACTAGGCCTTACCTTAAACAATGTTAGTTAAATATCACCTCCAATGTTCTATGATAGCATTGCACATAACTTTTCCTTTAAAAAACAAAAAACAGTGTTCCAAAAATTATTTAACAACCCCCAATTCTTACTGTGGGTCACAAGATACTGAGAGTGGTCCACCAAGTTATTTTCCCAGAAAAAGAGTCACTCACCCCAACTGGAGCCTTATTATTGCACAACTTTACAAATGACAGCATCTATTCCAGTTACACAGAGAATGGCCATGGGGCAACAAGACAAGTCCCACAACCTAGAAGCAGAGCCCTTTACCTTATGCTGCTTTGGGACTTCAGTACTACATTTATAGGAGTAGTCAAGCCCCATTTCTCCAAAGGCAATAGCTCTGGGATGCCTCATTGCCTGCAAAATATTTTTTTCATGAAGGTCTGTGTAGTAACGGGCAAAATGTGGATGACAACCGAATGCCCCCCAAATCATGTCTTCTTTTAACAAATCTTCCCATAAATAGTTGTTCAAGGTCCGAGGGTCACAAAAGTCAGCGATACAGCCTTGAAATTCTTTGGGAAAGGTGCTATCATAAGTTTCTCTAAATTTTGAAAATGTGCCTCTGAAAGCCATCTTTGAATATAACATGTCCAGATGACAATGAGTATCAATAAACCCTTCTTCTAAATATTTAGGCAAGTCACTAGGCAAGTCCCAGTTTACATAGTTATCAACAGAAGAGTCTGAATTCTTCGACGTGGAGAATATAGGAACACATGAGGTTTCTTCTATACTCCTTCGCTGGTTTTTTTTCTCACAAAGCCAAGGGGAACCATGTGAGTGCCTTCTGCCTTTACCACACATACTTTCTTCTGAAAATGATTTATCCTTTGATGTATTTGATGGAGTACCAGTTGAAAGACCTGAAATATCACAAAGGTGACTGGCATTTGAAGTATCGTTAGAGGGGCTTGAAAATGGAGGAGACTTTACTGGCTTGGGAGTGCTTATCCAATACTTTGCATAATCACTCATCCCAGAACTATACAAATGTGGAGGATACATCACAAACTCTGTTGACAATACTGAATTCTCCATTGTCTCTGTAGTGCTCTGGTTTGGGATGGAATCCTCTTGTGAGAAAGCATTTACTGGTTCCACATCCTCCATATCAGACCAATCACTTCCAACTGATGACTCTCTTTCATGTTCCATAAACTGCGGGTCAAAATGTAAACAAGGTATAAGTAGAAATGCAATATCATTTAAGTCAACATGATTAGCTAGCATTATCACCACAGTGTAATTTATTATGTGTCTATATTAACATGTGTACACATAGAACAAAGCAAAGGGGAACACAGCAAGGGCACAAATGAGAAAGATTTGTTTAAGATTTGGGTAACTTGCCACAGCTAACTGCACGTAGCTGATGAGGTCTGGGATTCATTTTAGCTGGGAAACTGGGTATATGACCCAGTCCACAACTGAGACGTGCCTCAGCACCTAGCCAGTTAACCACAATTACAAGCAGCAAGTCACACAAAATTTACGAAAACCATCAACAGGCTTCTTGCCATCTTTTAAAAATGCAAAACGGCATTCAACAAGTAGCTAGAAGATGCGTAGTTTGTAGTATGTTACTTACTGTGATAACCATCACCTCATTCTGATAAATTGCTTGTCCCACTATGAAAGACCCAACTAATATGTGGGCCAGTGAAAACATACATATTAATAAGTAATACTTCACTGCACGTGATTGTTGTGCAATGCTTTACTCACCAGAGTAAAACCGGTATGGTATCTTAAAAATAATAAAAAATGCAGTTTTGCATCACTACTAAATTATAAAGACATTATTGCCCCTTTACCAAGGGTTATACACAAATTGAATACTATTTTAATACCTTTTCTTGGATAAGTTTCATCTTATAGCTTTGAGCTAGCCTCCACATGGCTCCACATTTGTGGAACCAGCTTCAGAGGACTTTCACCTGGCTCCCTCCTTGTAGATGTTCAGGCGGCTATTGAAGACGTGGCTCTTCAGAGAGGTTTTCCACACCAGCCCTAGCTAACTGTCCATTTTTCACCCACTTTTGTTCTGTGCATTTTTTGTTGGCACCATCTGTTCTTATATTTTTATTGTTATTTGCTAACTTTTTCTGAGTATCTTAAGTGTTTTACTGTATTCTTATATCTGTCTGAAGTTTTATCTATTGTAAAGCGCAGCGTTTTTACAGAGAAAATAGAAAGAGAAAAACCAGAGATCTGTTCAAGAAAACTGGAGATATTAAAGGAACATTTCGTGCAAAGATGGACATGATAAAGGACAAAAATGGAAGGGACCTCACAGAA